TGTCATCTGTTCTTTCAATGTTCATTCACAAGAATTGTTGGGGATTCTCCACTGTGAGCATTGGTTTATTCGAGGGACTTGGTCAAAAACTGTTTCTGCTGCCTATCAACTTAGCAGGTCGAAGACTGCTGCAGGTAGAATGGTGGGTTGGATTTGGTGTTTGTGTGCTGCAGGTATCTGGAAGGATGCAGAAAGAGAATATATGGTGGTCGTAGTGCTGTATTGGTTGGCAATTTAATTTTGCAGGATTTACGGTTTCTGAGTCTTTGTAACTATTCTGCTAAGAATAATTTACAGGTGCTAGGAATTGTTCCGTAATTTTGTTGATAGTGTGTAGAGTTGAGTGGGAATGAGAGGGGCTATAATCTCATTCGATTTTACCCCCTTGGGTTTTTGCCAAATTTCTTTGTATCAGTCGGGCTTATTTTATTAATAAGAGGAACTGATTTCACGAAAAAGAGCATATGTTTGATGATTTAGAAACCTTGTCCAAATATTGATTGTGTGGGTTTCCTGGCAAAATGTGAGAGAGAGCTGAAAACATGGTCAAAAGACTTCCATAAGAATAGTATTCTTAGGGAGAATGAGATCATGACCAGGTTGGAGATTCTCCAGCAACCTCCTCGAATACAGGAGAATGTGGAAGAAGAGAAGAACCTTACAGCTGAATTAACAAAAATTTGGCTTGATGAAGAAGCCTTTTGGAATCAATGCTCCAGAGTTAATTGGTTTCAAAAAGGGGACCAAAACAAATCTTTTTTCCATGCTAGCACTATTCAAAGAAAGCATAGAAACAGAATCCTTCGCTTAAAAGATGAGGTGGGAAATTGGATTGAAGATGAAGCAAGGCTGAAAGGTATGGCAGTGGATTTTTATAAAGATCTTTTCAAGGCAAGGTCTCATACTACCTTTACCCATCTTCTTAAAGGATTCCCAACGATGGTTACAGGAGAGATGAATGAGGATCTGTGTGGGTCGGTCACTAATGAGGAGATCAGAAAAGCAGTTTTCTCTCTTGCGCCCAGAAAAGCACCCGGGCCAGATGGTTTCTCCCGAAAATTTTTCAGGAGATACTGGGAGATGGTTGGTGAATCCCTCTGCAGAGAAGTAAAGGACTTCTTTGAAAATGATTCTCTCCCTGATGGATGGAATGACACTCATATTGTTATGGTTCCCAAAGTTGACCATCCAGAAACCATTGGTCAATTTCATCCTATCAGTTGCTGCAACTTCAGGTACAAGATCATCACAAAAATCATGGCTACACTTATGAAGAAATAGACCCCCTCCCTTGTCTCGGAGCTCCAAACAGCTTTCACAGGAGGTCGCCTCATCCAGGATAATATTATTGTTGTCCATGAAACTCTTCATCATTTCAAAAACCACAAACAGGAGAACAAAAGAGATATGATGCTGAAACTGGATATGAAGAAGGCTTACGACATGGTTGATTGGGAATGTTTGGAAACTCTGCTTAGGAGGTATGGTTTTGATGAAAAGTGGTGCAGATGGGTTAACACTTGTATTCGAACAGTTAGGTTCTCAGTATTGTTCAATGGTGAAGCCACAGAGGCTTTTTGTCCTTCTAGAGGCATTAGACAAGGAGATCCTCTATCCCCTTTTCTCTTCATCCTAATGTCTAATGCTCTCACTTTCCTAGTGGAGAAGGCCGTGATGGATAACCAAATTAGGGGTATAAAGCTTAACGCTAGATGCCCCACCCTCACACACTGCCTCTTCGCGGATGACATAGTCATTTTTGGGAAAGCCATTATTCAAGAAGCTGGAAGGATTTTGGACCTTATCAATGATTATGGATCGATCACCGGGCAAGAGGTCAACACCAACAAATCATCTATTTTCTTCAGTGCCAACGTACCCATTGAGGATAAGAATGCCATTATCTCACACATTGGTTTTGCTTCCTCTAACTGCCACTCTAAGTACCTTAGAGTCCCGACCGAGTGGGGAAACTCCAAGAAAGAGACATTCCTATTCCTTATCCAGAGGATGGAAAAGATGGGGGAATCTTGGAAAAGCCTTCTTCTTTCTCATGGAGGAAAGGAAATTCTTCTCAAGTCTGTTATTCAGGCTATCCCATCTTACATCATGTGTCTGTTCCTTCTACTAGTGTCCCTTACCAAGAAAATGGATTCACTTCTCAGCAACTTTTTCTGGTCAGGCTCAATGCAGAAGAGCAATCTTCACTGGTGTAGATAGAAGATTCTATGTACACCAAAGTCAGAAGAAGGTCTAGGGTTCCGCAGTTTTAGAGATTTCAATCTGGCACTCCTGGCCAAACAAGCTTGGAGGCTTCTCACTTCTCCTAATTCCCTATGGAGTCACCTCCTCAAAGGACTCTACTTTCCTAGAGGTAATTTCCTGTCGGCTAGAAAAGGAAGTAAACCGTCTTGGATCTGGGCTAGCATCTGGGAATCCAAAAAATTTGTTGATCTAGGTACTGTTAGAGTGATTGGATCGGACAAGGCTACCTGGATTGATCAAGACCTTTGGGTCCTTTCCCTCCCTAAGGCATGCATTCGGAGTGGCCCACAAAACCACATGAGAGTCAATTCTTGGATTGATCCGGATGAGAGGAAGTGGAATAAAGAGCATATTGAGGGACATGTCTCAAATTCTGAAATGGAAGCTATCCTAAGGATCCCGATTGGGGAAGAAAACTCTGATGACTTCTGGGCATGGAGACTGAATGAAAAGGGTAATTTCACTGTTAAGTCGGCTTATCATGCGGTTCACCTGTCTTCGACGGAACCACAAACGATGGACAATGTAGCAAAATGGAAATGAATGGGGAATTTAGATATCCACCCTAAGCTCAAGTTTTTCATCTGGAGGTGTTCCAAGAATGGACTTGCAACGAAGAGAGACTTTTCCATAGAAAATGCTCCCCCAACTCAACGTGCCAAGTGTGCCAGTGCCCCATCGAGTCACTCTTCCACTGCCTCTTCTCTTGTAACCATGCTAAGGAAGCGTGGAACACAATTTTTTTCTAACATTCCACTTTCGGCTCAAGCTACAGCTTTCCTTGACTGGCTCTACCACCTCAAGGACGCTATCCACCCAGGATCCCTAACCCATATTATCTTCTTATGCTGGAATATTTGGAAGGCGAGGAACGAATGTGTCTTCAAGAATCTGATTCCTTCCGAACGTTATTGTGAAAACGTATAAGGATTTCATGGAATGGACGACGTGTCCGAGGACTCCCCCCTTAGTCTCTCCTTCTCCTCAGCTCAGGGAATCCCACTCACTCTCTTCTCCACCGCCAAGCAATCACCATTTGGTGATTCACTATGATGGGTCGTTCATAAGCGACTCCCAGCCGGCGGCATATGGTGTCGTGGTCCTTAACCACCATGGACAAGTGTGTGATAGGCGAGCTAATACCCTCCTTTGTTCCACTCCGATCGAGGCCGGAACAAAAGCTCTTTTAGAAGGTCTCAAATTAGCTCAAGAATATGGTTCTGATTGTATTGTCCAATCCGACTGCCAAGTGTTAGTCAATGCTCTGAATCAAGATCCGAGAAGTTGTCCATGGCGGGGATCAGCTGGTATTGGATCAATGATCACAATCCTAGAGAGTGAACCCTCAAGTGAAGGTCATGGCGGTTTCACGTAAAAATTATTGTTAGAACTGATTGGGTGGCACCATCACTTGCTAGATCGTCGCTCTCAGATGACTGGATTAGTATTTTTGACCTAATTTCTGTAACCTTGTTTCTCCCTATTGGTGTTGGAATAAAAGATGATTTTACTATTAAAAAAAATCACCATAGCCAAATTCTCATATAGCGGGGTTTTTGTTTTTTCTGCAATTGCCAACTTGCCTCGCGTCAGACGTTGCCACTTGTGTTTACCCCAAAAGTAGTGAAGTACAGTAGTACACAAACGGAATGCACTATTGGCCTTTGGCGATGCCCTACAGGCCTACGGTGGGGCGGGCTTTGGTTTTCATATTTTGGTTCTTCTTCTAGCTTAGCTAGTTTCCAAAAGTATTAAAGTAGAAGAACATCGCTTTGCTTTCTCCCCTTTCTTTCTAGAACCGGAGATGTTTTCCCTACCACGAAGGAAACTCGAGCTTCCAAAAGATTCTTGGTAAAAAATGACGACAGATTCTTGAATGTTGATCCACAAGCTCACATACTTGTCTCTGTTTCTCTCTTTCTGTTACTTTCTCTCCCCATAAGGCCAAGCCCAAAATGCAAGAAAGCTAGTTCAAGGTACTCTGGGTTTCCTTTTCCTCTTCCTTCTCTGATATTATATTAGTTGACGCCTTTGATCACCTGTTGGAATTAGGTTAGAACAAGTGCTTCTAAAAGATGGGCCGCCGGTCTGCTTTTCTTTGGGTCGGTTTAGATTCACATATTGTCCAGTGAAGAATGGTTGGTTGATTTTCATCATATTTGTTTACCAAAAATTTGTAGGTTGATGATTTTGAAGAAGTAGAACAATTGATTAAACGTCTAGTTCAAATCATTATCATTTTATGTTCAACAGTCATTATTTTGTTTCAAATATAGCTAATTTACATTATTTTTTTCCTTCTATGAGAATAATAACCCGGTGCGATCTTCATATAAGTAACTTATTCATTTACAACAACCCTTAATTATATCATATCACTAAATGAATTCTTCCCTGTGAATTTCAATAAAAAAATTAACTTATCCTTTATATGCAGAGTATAAAGCATTTTCCTAAGTTCAAAAGATTAGGATGAGAATGAATGTTAAAACAAATTATTTAGAATGATCCTTGTTTGATTGCTCTCATCTCCAATGAGAATATACAGAGTTAACAGTAAACGATCCTGATTCTGAAGCCATAGAACAGCCTGCGACTCAACAATAATACATTAATAATACACTTGAGAAGCCATATTACTTTTAAAATTATTTTTGTGTAAGCCTTCTTCCCAACAGATTGCCATACAAAGTTAGGACTCTGGTTCAGGGGGAGCCTTCTCTCCAGTCCATCTCCTATTGAAGTAACTGCAGAGTCGCGGGCTGTACCAAATCTTGCTCCGAGCCCTCGAAGCCAGTGTTGTTATCGCTTGCCGCTGCAGAAATCTGTAAGCACAAAACACACCTTGGTTTTACTCTTGCCGCTGACGCCGCCTTTGTTTTAGAAGTATGACTGTAAAACGGCATATAATAGCAAGATAGTTTCACGATCAACGCCTGTCACAAAAGCTTCTACTGCTAGCCTTCTTTGAATTATGCCGATTTCATTGGGACTTAAATTTATGTTGATCTTTATTTTGAACTGTCAAGGATCAGATTTAAAACAGCACATTTGGGAAAATCACAGGGCAACGGAGTGCAATGTATCATACCATATATTAACGACAACTCTTGAGTTACTTCTAGTACCTTTCTAACCAAGTCACACAATGTATTGACCATTTCTCGGTTCGCACGTATAATTCTTACACAGCATCATACTAATATTTTCACTATATATAACCATTTATGGTTTAAAAGACACATGACTTAAGGACTTCAAAGGGAAGACTCTTGGAAATCATTTGTGCAGTGGAACGGAGTGGATCCAAGCTATAACTATATGATATGTACCTATCATGATTTACTCCAAGTAACTTGCTTACAAAGTCAACACATTATTATCTGAACAAGTTCAAAATTTATGTGTGTCATCCTAACACGACGACTATCCTAACCTTCTCTATATTGTTTCAAATTTATTGCGCTAACATATAATAATCTATGTTTTGAAGGGTTATGACTCATGCCTTCTAAGTGGGCAAATTGAAAATCATAAAGATATGCAGTGAAATGGAAGTGTATCATATCTGACAGTAAGGTCACAAAACGAATGTCGAAAGTAATAAAAAGGTCTAACCCGTTGCTTTAGGAGCTCGTTTTCCTGTTCTAGCTTGCTTTCCTGCCAGCAGAGAAGATTTAGTCAGCAAGACGAAAGGAGTTGACTGAGTCTTGGGGGAGCCAAAGACTAGGTAACCATTACTGCAAAACTAGGAAGTGTATTTAGGGAAGACTATCTAGGTATACCAAGTATTGCAGCACAACTAAGGAGAAATTGAGAAATGAGGCATTCCTATTACTAATAACACGGGAGCAGCAGCCATATTGCTAACTTAAAGTTTACTACAAAATATTCACATGCATAACCTGGTAACTAAATCTGATAAGCCGGCAATTATGAGAGATAGGATGCCATGGAATCCAAGGGTGAAGTAGTTAAAGCATATAACACGAGATAAGTTGATAGAGAATCCGTGCTAGATTGGAATATACCTTTTCCTGGAGGGTCTTTATAGGCTCTGACATCAATTGCTTCTGCAGGCCAGAAGTGATGCAAGCTTTAGAAAGAGTTGCTAAAAGGGAAGCATTTTGGTTGCTTAACAACAGAAAGCTAGTCTGAAAGAACCAGCCGACAAGTTGATACGAGCAAGCATACCAATTCACCCATTTGTAGCATAATAATGAAAGTTAGGGTGTTAAACAACATCTGAACTAATAACAAAAAATGTAGAGTTAATGGTAGTGCGGATGAAAATCCCATCAAAACCGATCCTAGGATTTCTTGCTTCCGTGCAAATAGGGAAAAAGAAATAGGAGTGTCTCGTTTGAAGCATAGTAGCTACCGTATCAAACAACATCTAACTTATCACGCAAAGGAGTTTGTGTAATTTAATGGGGACGAAAACCCATCCACCCCGTTTCAGATTCAAACTTCAAGGTTATTGGAAAGAAGAGTTCAATCGGCTTCTAGCTCAGTGATCGCAATGGAAACCCTTGAGCACCACTAGAAGTGAATCCATACCTATGCTCCTAAATTATGCAGCAAACTAGAACTGGAAGTGGCATATAGTATTCTGAATCCTCAGAGCATCAATTCATGTTCTGGAATGTTCAGAGCAGGTAAAAGAACCAACCTTTCTAACTCTGATTTGTGTTAGTGTCAAGTCAATTTGCTTTTCCAACTGTACAAGGTCATTCACAGTCAGTTGTACATCATCTGCTGGATCCTCAACAACATACCTGCACAGTAACAATGCCCCCACTAAAAATTCCAGTCTTAAAGCAAGTGCTATAGGAAACAACAGTTACCTCTGAATGATTTGCAATAGTGCCGTGGGAGAGACTCCTGCTAAACCATCACTGCTACTCTGTAGACAGAGATGACATCAGATACTTAATTTCAAGTTCATGATAGAAATTAGTCATGGTTATTAGGTTTTTTTCCCATTTAGACCAAAAGTAACCGCTCACCTCTGCATCATTGGCAGCAGTTCTGCTCCAATACCGCTTTAGAATCTTTGTAAAGCTGTAATAAACGAGATCATAATCTATGAGTAAAGAACACAATGGATCCACGACGACATGAATTTTGAGAGCACATGAAATGTTTTATACAAATCAGGCAGAGAGAAGAAAAGAGTAATCACATAGAACACACACTTGCTAACAATGTTGTTATAGTAACCGAGGTTCTTAATTGTTCATTAATAGGATAAAAGCAACTTGAGTTACATGTACAAAATAATGGCACACCTTTAATAGTCGTACAAAGGTTCTCATAGAACGTGGATAGCGTCCAATTAGTAATCACATATAGACACAGTAATGTGATTAGGTCAGAGGGGGGTTTTCGTTCATCTTTATCACGAAAGTGGCGAATAAGGCTAAGCCAAAATCATATCAAACAGTCTACCAAACTTGAAATACAATTATGTAAGGGTTCATATGTAAGGTGGCTAAATAAATAAAAAGTATCAATTAGACCATCGTGGGTTTATTATGATGATATGGTAATCTAAATTCTAAACAGAGAAGGGATGCCATATAGGTAGTGAAGTCATGTCATGTAGTAAATGAATGGAGCAATTCTCAAATAGTTTTCATTGTGCTATAGCCCAATAGCCCTTCTTCTTGAACTATAAAAGCCCAACGTTACATTGATATTATTAATAGAAAAGGTATACTTAACATAGCCTATTAACTATCTCATTGTGCTCTAACCCATGGAAGTGAAGGGTCTTACCTTTTGAAGTCTCAAAGCACTAGACACAATAATAGTTTGACTCTAGTTGGTAAAACAATATTTAACCCTCCGAGTTGAGAAACCCTTAAAATGGCCAATTGATTGGGAATAAAGCTATCAGAAACTTATTTGGGATGTAAACTTGATTGACTAATCTAATATTGTGCTAGGGAGCCATTTAATGGTCTTGAAACCTATGATTGACACATCAATATGGCAACCAAAGGAATCTACTCTTGTTAGGGTGTACATAAACCATATTAGTAATGTTCTACAATTGTCTATGCAAAGAAGTTCCATTCTTTTTCACCAAAGGTTGCTGGGAATATGAGTATCATGCATACACTACCTTGCGCATGCATGCATGGAAGGTTAGAACTTAGAACAGACGTGATAAATACGTTATATAAGTAATCTCTTTCTCATACACAACATACGTTCTCCTTTGTATAACACAAGTTTTCTACCATAACAACTCAACTTTGAACCATTCAATATTCTAAATGCAAGAGAAACCTAATACATACCCAAAGTATTACCCCCTAATAATACTTTGACAATGTAAGAGAAATGTTGGATAAACCAAAATGAAGAAATGTAGTCCAAAGAGAAGCTTCAATGAAGGCCTCAATCTACCCCAATATTGGACAATCTAGTTCCAAATCATCTATATATACCAATACTATGTTTGACATTTTTTTTTCTTGTTAGATGATCTTTGTCTTATTCCCCATCTATCATTTTTCATATAACTCATCGAGCGAGGAGATGAGACATATGATTATCAAGGTGGACCAGCGAAAAGCCAACTTCTAAGAACAAGTAAACAAACAATAAGCACAACAAAGAAAAGGTAATAGACTTACTTCTTTGCCAAGCTAACAAATAGGAAACAATAAAATATAACTTAGGGATCGACCTAGTGATAATGAATAACGAAAAATTCAATCTACCTTGAACTCAAAATCTTGGATCAAATCCATTTTTAGGTTTGGGCTTCACTTGGAATTCCTATTGGTTTCCTTGGTTGGAGGATTGGGCGGCCCTCCCAAGTCCAAAAGACCTACTTGGCAAGTGGCAACTGTCCCAAAATGCCACTAGCTAGGGACAAGCTCTTTTCTCTCCATATATACAACCAAACCATATGTTGCAGTAGTTGCACCAACTTCTGCTACTCTATGTTGCTGGCAAACCAGTACATTTTATGATATGTTGCACCATCTTTAACCAGATGATTGATCTTTGTTTACAATGCTAAATATAATATAATTAGTGAACTAATACCAAAACCTCGGGCAAATATATGAACATATTTTAATGAAACTCGTGCATATGCTTTGTTTGTTTGTTGGTTAGTTCAATTTGTTTACAAAGGCTTCTCATAATCTCATTCCACAACAACGAAATTACTTTTTCACTCTTTCACATACTAGGATAGAATTCGAATCATCGTTTTTACCCACTCTTCTCCACAATATCATTTGTGGGTAAGTGCAATTTATCTAAAGAGATCGGTTTAGCAATCATACGACAACCATATCTAATTCACTCAGAGGGCAAAGATAGAGACGCAGCTAAAACATATATTAACCTAATTGAGTAAAAGATTGGAAGTTGGGGAAGTAAGTAGTGGAGTTAAACCTGTCGCCGGCGCAGAATTCGTAGAGGCGGCCGGGGGCGGAGAAGACGACGAGAGCTACTTGGACGTCGCAGAGGACGGAGATCTCGCGGGCCTTCTTGATCAAACCGCTCCGCCGCTTGGAGAAGGTCACTTGGCGGCTGCTCTTGTTCTCGATTCGCTTCATCTCCACCTTCTTCCTCCCCATCTCTTTTTTTTTTTTTGTTTCTTCTTCTTCTTTTTTTTTAATTCTTCGACTTGGCGCACGCCCAAATTGCCCCTGAACTGGCTACTTCATGGCTGCTGTCGCTTTCGTTTGGAAGAAGAAGAAAAAAACATGGAGAGGAGATGAACTGTAACAAAATGATGTACCGGCTGATTTTACTACTGGGCATGGGGAAAGAGGAATTGGGCAGGAAAGTTTGGGGGAAAACCAAAATAGTAGTTGAGGACAGGTTGGACCAATTTGGTTTGGTTTGGAGTCGCATTGAACCGGTAAGGTTGTCGATTTTAAAAATTTAAGATAAGTTATGGAACATCAAGAGACAATTTGTTACTGCTTGAAAAAAATTAGAGATGATCGATACTACAATAATTGATGTGTTCATGTGCAAAAGTTAAAGAGTATATATCATTTCAAGAGTAGTAATATATATATATATATATATCAAGAATGCATCTTTGATGTAATTGTTACAAGTCTGGATCAAATATCCTTTGATGATTACAAGATCTATTGTTGGATTTAGATTTGTTATGAAAAAAAAAGTAGTTTTCTCGATATTAAATAATTGTACGTGGTGTAACTAGATTGTCATAGTTGGCAAAATAATCCATCTTCGTGGATACTCAACCAAAATTTCTATGGAAAGTACTTTTCTCGTTGTTAAATCATTGTAGTGTTCGTGTAACCATATTGCCATGGTAATGGCATAATAACACATCAACGTGGATAATCAATTGAATCATAATCGATTTTGTTGGGGTAAATCCAACCAATATTATCTTTGGATGAGGTTTCCCCAAACCCGACAAGGAAGGTATTAGTTTTGGTATTTTAAGTATCTGCACTGAACCCACCCGTAATATATTTTATAACTACGTTCTACACTCATTCACTTTAACACTTTATTCATCCATATTTCTAAGATATTATAATAACTCTTAGAGTATAATATGACATTCCCACACCGTTTTGATTACGAGGATAATTACAATTTTAAAATCATAATTTAGAAATGATATATATGAAAACCGATCCATCCAAAACTTTGTAGCCATCCCTATATCATGCGGCTTAATCGCTTGGTTATTGGTAACTTTGTCGTTTGCAAACAATGATTAAATTGGTCATTCTTTTAATGGGTGCCTTAACCTAGCAAAGGACACAGTACTTGAATCAATATAATTTTTTTTAATTGAAAATCTAACACTACAACCATTCAATTAATAAAATTTATTTATGACCAAATATAAATAAGGCATTGTTTCAAAAACTAAATATATGAGTTGTTCATTTGTTTCGGTATAGTGGATCGACTCTCTTTAATTTGAGTTGATCCGAACGAACTGGCTTTCCATCTCATGCTGCCAAGTCTAGATAGGGGTCGCGAAAAAGCACGTGTCCATTTTGTGTGTTTAAAGATATCGGTCCCCTCAAATACTGCCACAGTCCACAGAAAGAGCCCGGTGGTGAGTCGTCGACAGGGTTAACAAATAAATTACAACATGCAATTGATTTCCTGAAGAAAGGAAAGGAAACGAAGATATCAAATTGAGGGATCGTTTGCTTGTTGGATTTGGGTCATGGATTTGATACCCAAATTCCAAGTTTGATGGATTTAACATAAGTCTATTGTTTGTTGAAGGGTGCTAAATCCGTGGGGTCCACGGATTTGGTCTTTATTTTGGAACCAAATCCGTGGACCCCACGGACTTGTAAATCCCACATATTGATTTGGATGAAATATTTATCTTACTATATTTATCTTACTATATATATATCAGTGGGATTGTATTTTCTTTTTTTTTAATTTGTATTTTAAATTTTTGACATGGATGAAATACGGTTGGTTGTGATATAAAAATAATATTCATTTTTAAATTATATTTCAAAAGTAATATTTTTATACAATCCATTAGCACTCTTTATTAGGGATGTCGACAAAACTCGAACCCAGGAGTATCCTACCCGACCCAACCCGGTCAATGTGGGTAAAACCCGTGTTGACGGGATTTGAGTCGGGTTCGGGTTTAAACCCGTACACTATTTATCGGGTTGGGTTGAGTTTGAGTTTAGTGATACCCGACCCATAGATACCCATCCACACTTATTCCGTCGTCCTACTCTCCCCAAATTCTACCGTAGTTCTAATTTCTCCAAATCTAACTCTCACTACACTTATTCCATGTGCTTTTATCTAGTGTAATTGTGATATGTTTGAATTTTTTAGACTGGTGTTTTATCTATGGGTATTTTGTATGGGAAAATTGATGTTTGAATTTTATTTTGATAGGAACTTGTTATTGCAATTTTTTACCACAAAACCCCATGGGTACCCATGAAACCGCGGATACCCAGCGGGTTGGGTTTGAGTTTGACAAAACCCGACTCATTGTCATCCCTACTCATTATCCCTTGATATTATTATGTACTACTCAGTGGTGGACCCAATAATTTTATATAAGGGTGTCCTTCTTAAAATTAAAATATCAATTAAAATTATAAAATATCTTGAATAAGAAAATATCTGACTAGTACAAGTTGCAACAAAAGTCCACGACGTGTTATCATATTTTGAAAAAATTGTAAACTGCACTCACTGTCTACAGTGCCTGATAACACTGCATTTTGTGCATGTTTTTCCCGGCATTTCTTAATCATTTGGCTTGGCATTTGACTGGTCTTGGTCTATTTTACTTTAGGTTGTGCTTGTTTGCAGTGGCGGAGCCAAGGGCTAACTAGGTGGGTCTCGGGACCCAGCTTGCATGGAGAGAAAATAAGTACATATAAATACAATAGTTAAGTGTCGGTGATGTTTTTGAATTTATACCTAAACATCGTCAATATTGATCAATATGTCTACCACCAAAGAATAATTAAACAATAAATTAGTTGTCATTATTATATATAATACATTCTAACTTCTACATAAATAATATTAGAGCAAAATATAACTTCATTTAATCATCAAATTCTTAATTTAATCGTCATTTATCACCAAATCTTCTCTTATTGAAACTTGCTAGCTTCTTTTTATCATAGTAAGGAAATTTTTAAAATAATATTGACGTTTTGAACCCCAACTATATCTACACATATTATAATACACCAAAGGGAAAAACGGGAGTCCCATTTCAAATTTCTTGCAACGAGAGTGAAAGTAGGAAGGACATATTAGTCTTCACAATTACTTTTTTTATTCATTAAAAAGACACATACTGGGATTCGAACAATGACCATTTTAAAGAAGAACAAGGAACATAACCAATCACACTAAGTACATTTGTTGTATCTTTTTAAATTAAAAACATATAATAGCAGGGAGGAAAAAACTCTTCCCCCATTTGAAATTTCCTACTCCATGAGCGTTTGTAGGAAGGGTAGAATAGGGAGTGTCAAATTTTTTTCTCTTTCCTCTGTGGAACGGGCCAACTTACCGTACACATGCAGATTTAAACGGGTCCAGGAGTGTCAATTTTTTTCTTTAAGCTCTTTTATTTCTCCGTGGTGATAAAATATATATGAAAAGACAAAAACAATACTCCTTTTTATTTCTAAAAATAAAAAATTTAACAATAAACTAATGCATAGTATCTAATGGGCTAACAGCTAACCATAAAATAAAAGAGTTGAATGGGCCTGACCTACACGAGATTTGGCCATCAAGTAAAACAAATGAACATCATTGGTTTGCCATTCTAAAAACGTTTGTAGGAAGGGTAGAATAGGGAGTGTCAAATTTTTTCTCTTTTCTCTGTGGAACGGGCCAACTTACCGTACACATGCGGATTTAAACGGGTCTAGGAGTGTCAATTTTTTTCTTTAAGCTCTTTTATTTCTCCGTGGTGATAAAATATATATGAAAAGGCAAAAACAATACTCCTTTTTATTGCTAAAAATAAAAAATTTAACAATAAACTAATGCATGGTATCTAATGGCTAACCATAAAATAAAATAGTTGAGTGGGCCTGACCTACACGGGATTTGGCCATCAAGTAAAACAAATGAACATCATTGGTTTGTCATTCTAAAACAAGCTATTTTCTCTGGCATAACATATATTATGTTATTATTTTATATCTTAGTGGCTAAAATATAATGTATTTTAAAGTTATTCAATGGTTCAACCTCGACCAACCCAATTAGTCCAATTTTTATCATTTCAAATATATATTAAATAGTTATTTGATATCATAATGATCAAATTATAGTGTATTTTACAGGAAATCGTTTGGTATTTGTTAGTAAAATACTAAACAGAAAGATCTATTTGGTTATTTTAAACATTAAAACGATCCTAAACATTTTCAGTTCCTTTTGAATTTCTATGGTTTTATTCCCGAATAAGTGATGTGCAAATGGCGAATTGCAGTCATCTCTTTTCTTTCACTATTTTTCATTTTCAAATAGAAAGTTTAAAAGTAAAGAATAATTAGAATTTGGCATGGGTCGGTCAAACAGGCTGAATTTCAAGTTTTAGCCCGTTTTGATAAGTCTAATTTATAATCACATGGTTCTCTGATACTCGATAAAAATCTCAATCCAAACCAGTTTGGCAGGTGAGTTCGTGTTTACTACCATTTTCTAGGGATACAACAACGGCGGTTCCTATCCCAAATCGTGTTGTTCGTTCTTGATTTTCTTAGATTTTATCATGGCCTGACAAAAACCAGAAAGCACAATGACGACAAGATGAAAGTTTTATAAAGAAAATTAATCGGCCAATGGGTCGAGTAAAAGCTAGCAACGATTGTGAGATGTTCATTTCCCGAAAACCGACGAGATAGGTGATTTATTATTCGATTTTCTGGAATTCGGTTTCTATAAAACTTACTCCACCTCATCATATTACCAGAAACAATATTGTTTCACAAGGTAACAGGTACTTGATTTTGGTTCATAAGGCCGATTTTTGATTCGTTGCATCATTCGTGTCCGTTTCTTGCTAAAATTCATTATTTTTATCATGTGTTTCAAAAAAAAA